CCAGCTGGGGCTGCGGGGAGACCCTACCTCAAAAATAGTAACAACAACAAAAACCCACAAAGGAAATAGCATACATAGATGCACAACAAATGACAAAACTGAACATCTATTCATGAATTTTTAAAATTCTTAGTAAAGCAGGAAAAGGAAAGACTCTTCCTCAACCTGATAAAAGGCATTTATGAAAACCAACAGCCAACATCAATAGTGAAAGACTGAATACTTTTTCTCTAAGAAAGAATAAGTTTGTCTTCTCCAGTCACACGCACACACACACACGTACAATCTTTTTAACTTTTACTCATCAAAATGTTATTTTAAATGATCTACTGGATATTTTAGGAAAAAATGCTCATTAAACATAGCTGACAACAGACTTGATTATATAGAATATAAATCTATATAACATAAAGAATGCCTACAAATCAATAATACCAAAACAACTCAATTCTATAAGTGGACAAAAGAACAGGTACTTCATAAAGATATCAGGAAGCACATGGAAATCTGCCCACTCCATTAGCTATTAAGGGAACACAAATGAAATCCATAGTGAGATAGCTAAACTACAAGGGCCACCAACACACACGTTGGCAAGGATATAGAACAACAGGAATGTATAGAGATTGCTGGTGGGAGTGTACAATGGTAAAACTACTTCACAAAATGACCTGGGAGCTCTCCAAAGATCTGACATATCAGATGTGATCATTCATATCATTCATTATGTTTTTCGCCCCAAAAGAAATGCAAATATATGCACACAAGTGCATTTTTCCAAAGTGTTCATACCTTGATTACTCACAGTCCAAACCAAAAGAAAGAACTGACAGGTTGTGGAATATGGTCAATAATAAAAGGAATAAACTGCTGGTAAGTATGGATAAACTGCAAAGACGTGATACTGAACAAAACAAGCTGGACCTAACAGAATGTAGACGAAATTCCATCTACAAAGTTTTTAGTTTTGTTTACTTGAGGCAGGGTCTTGCTATGTTGCCCAGGCTGGTCTGGAATTTAAGATTCTCCCGACTCTGTCTTCTGAGCACTAGGATTACAGGCATATGCCACCATGTTCAGCTACCAATTATATTTTAATTTTTTTCTGGTCTTTTTGAGACAGGGTCTCCCTACAGCCTCAGCTGGCCTGGAACTCACTATGAGACCATACTGACCTTGATTTCACAGAGATCCACCTACCTCTGCCTCCCTAGTGCTGGAACTAAAGGTATGCATTACTATGTCCAATTTAAATTTTAAATTTTAAACAAGCATATCTAACACTTTAAAAATTTGCACATTGGGCTGAAAAGATGGCTCAGTGAAAAATAGGACTTACTGCTCTTTCAGAAGACCCAAGCTCGATTCCCAGCACGTATGCTGGGTGGCTCACGACTGCCTCACCACTCCAGCTCCAGAGAATAAGATGTGCTTTTCTGTAATCTGATGAGGGCATTTGTACACACATGGCATACACACACAGATATAAATTAAGCAAAAATAAAACAGATCTTTAAAAAGAACTAGAACATTAATAAAATAGAACATTAATTTCCAGATAGAGAATGGACAGTTGGTGAAGACAGAGAGAACTTTCTGGAACTATAGAAACGTTTCATGTCATAATAGGGGTATGAATGCATATGTGTATCATTTTGTTCAAATTTCATAACTGTGCTGGATAGCTTTAGTGTCAACTTGACACACCTGGGTTGAGGGAGCCTCAATCGGGGAATTGCCTCTATTGGACTGGCCTGTGGCCATGTCTGAGGGGCATCTTCTTGATGAGTGATGTGGGAGGGCCCAGCCCACTGTGGGTGGTGCCACCCCTGGGCAGGTGGGCCTGTGTTGCATAGGAGGGCAGGCTGAGCAGGAGCCAAAGAAGCAAGCCTGTAAGCAGTGTTCCTCCATGGCCTGTGCTCCAGCTCCTGCCTCCAGGTTCCTGCCCTGAGTTCCTACCTTGGGCTCCCTGATGAACTGCGTGCAACCTGGGAGATGTAAGACAAATAAACCCTTTCCTCCCCAAGTTGGTACTGGTCAGAGTGTTTTGTCACAGCAATGAAGAAACAAACTAAGACAATAACAGATTAGTGTTTTTCAATTCATGTCAATTTCACCTCAAGAAACAGAACCTTAAGATCAGTAAGGTGGTGGACTGTGAGTGGAATGAGTTCTAGTTAATAAAGGGTGACAATGGCCATGCTCCCTTGAGGAGCCTGCAGCCAACTCTTGAGTATGTCTTACTTCCCAAACTCTTCTTTGAGAAACCCACACCGATGCTCCTGGGTATGCCTTACTTTATTCTGAGTGCCTCTTTCTTTTTTTTTTTTAAGACAGGGTTACCCTATAGCCCCAGCTGGCCTGGAGCCCGCTATGTAGACCAGGCTAGCCTTGATCTCACAGAGATCCGCCTGCTTCTACCTCTGAGTACTGGGATTAAAGGTGTGTGTACACACCACCCAGCTTTGCCTCTCTTTCTTAACCCTCATGCTTAATCCTTCAACTTTGCTTCATAAAAAAATAAAATAGTAACAGAATCTTAGTAATCGTAAAGTGGGGTGACAGGTGTCTATGGGAGTTTTTATATTCTCTTTCCTTTGTATAGTTCTGAAATTTCCATGGTTAAAAAAAAAAAAAACTAAAAAGCAACAACAATCAAACCACAAGGCTAATTTGCTAAATTATCTGTTCATGAGAAACAGCTCTATGAAACTGATCTGAAAAGTCTACTTACTTAACCTCAGCATCTCTATGTGACATCTCAGCAGTGGTTCCAGACCACAGTTTAAGCAGCACTGTTCTGAACTTACTTTGTCTCCTTCTTTTCTTCACCACATAAACAGAAGCAATAACAGTAATAATAAAAATACAACAGTAATAGGAGAATCCTCTTAAAATGAAGAATAAATACATCAAGAACTTAGAGCAGTGCCTGCACAGACAGGCTCTGTAAATATTAATGTTTATTCTCATTATTACAACCTACTATAGACTTTTTTTCATCCCTACACTTTCTCAGTTGTTAATAATTTTATGCCTTATCTGAGTGATGCCCTTTATTCTTCAAGCAGCTGACTCAAATCTTTCTGCTTATATCTTTTCTAATTCAAAAATAAATAAGTAAATAAAGACCTACTAAACTGATAATCAGCTTCAGAGATTAAATTCAGCCCAGACACCACCTGTCACCAAGGGGTGGTCCTATAGCCAAGTCATTACTGTAATTTGTCTACAAGGGGCAGGTATCCAATCATAGCTAAGTCTACTGCTGCATTCTTTCTCCCAGGCCCTGTGTTGTTGGGGTGCAGCACCCTGAGAAAGTTCTTAAGCTTCCCTTCTTGTTCTGGTTCTCCCAGAGGCTGGGGAGTTGGGCCCTCCAGTGATTCTATGCGATGGCTCTTGCATCCTTCTGATACACCTACCTTTCATCTCTAAGCTGGCCAAAACCGGTTTCTATTACTTAGATGGCCAACAAAAGTCACATCTGAGCTCTAGAATATACATCACTTTCTGCCAAACCCTCTGAACTAACATCTGCCAATTGCTTACTGCTTGCGAGGCATATACAAATCTGTGCTGTGAGCACCGTCACAGATTGGACAGGAAAAGAAAGGATGAGACATTACAAAGGCAGAGAGCAACAGGAAAAAAGGTAGATACAGGGAACTGAGGTTGATACAATTTCACTGGAGAATTAAGGCACAAAACGCACATAACTGAACCTCAATAAATGCTGACTGCTGACATATTAAATTAGGGATTCAGAGTTTACTCTCCTTAGAATGGTTCTGCTGAAGATTTCTGAAAGAGAAAAAGTTCTACACTATGAATCGTGCTTTAGAAAGAGCACTAAACATCTCAGTCAGGCCTCCAGAAGGCTCATCTTACTTGTGGGCTGAAATGCCTATGCATTAAGTTACCTATGCTTCTAACTACAGACATTTACCAGCAGATTTGAGGAAAAGTAGAAATTTTTGTTTCAATATCAAAATGGTCTTTCCACGTGACTCTGAAGAAAACTGAAGATACTTATAAGGATACTCGACAAGTTAATTTAGAACCAACAATTTTACACACATGACCCAAGATAGACACACTATTAGGACTGTGTTATAACTGAGAAACTGCTAAGTGCACTCCTGTACTCTCTAGCAAAGACTACCCATGTTTTGATGAACATACTTTATGAGACACTCCATAATTCAGAAGAGTACTGCACAAGCACGTGGCAGATACAATACTGTGACCATAAGTTATCTTAAACACAGACCCTTAATATTACAGTGATGCCCAGATTCACGAAGGTCATATCGTATTAACTGTGCTTTCCAATTGCAGAAATGCCAAAATGTTAAGTTCTATTAGCACCATTCTAGAAACAGGAGAGACAGCAATCTAATTGTAAAAATTGTTGGCTTATTCACTACTTTCATGCTCATTTAAAGTAACAAATTTTCTTATTTAATTAAATGTTGTGTTTGGAGAAAGTCGAGTGAAAAGATGTTATCTGAAATGGAAAAAAATTTTTTTTTAATAAGAAAAAAACACAATAAAAAATTTCAGCAAAAACAATGCACATGACTAAAGTCAATCACAGCGATGGTATATCTTGGAATAGCAAAATAGTTAAGTTACCGAGTCAAAGGTCAAATTTTTTTCATACCCCTGTAACTAGTGAACTCAAGAACTTTAACAGACGATGAGACAGTGGGAAAGTATCAAGTGGCTGCTACAGAAGCTGCACCTGTCAGCCTGCATATGTTCTACTCAAGACTTGTAGGAAGTAAGTTAAATGAAGACCCAGCAGTGCCTGGCTGCGAAAGCGAATAAATACTCCATGCGTGGCCCCAGCGGGCTAGGTTCCTCCCTGGCTGGCCTCCACCTGGATCGAGGAGGTGCGGGGGCGAGGGAGAAGAGGTGGGGGCGCGGCCTCTGCCCAGCGACCCCACAGCCACCCGGCGCACCGTCCTCCTGCCCCGCCCCGCCGCCCGGGTACTCACAGCTCGGGTCTCATACAGAACGAGCTTCTGGACCGAGCTAATGATGGGGGCAGCAGCCGTGGGCATGGCTCCAGCCAATGGCGGCCCCACAGCAGGGCACCAGGCCGCGGCCCAGGTCGTGGCAGGCGCCGGGCCGCCCCAGGGGGCCTAGCAAGAAGTCGCAGCAGACCCAGCACGCCGGAGCCTGCAGAAAAAAAAACTGCAGGACTGAATCTGCTACGGACCAGGGAGACGCAGGTGTTTCCGGATTCCAGAGTCCCCGCCTCCCAGCAAGCTCCGCCTCCCAGCAAGCCACGCCCAAGCGCGGATGGGGCGGGGCTCGAGAAAGTAAGGTGGCGAGGCCGTGCCCAGGCTCCGGAAACCTGCGTGCTGCTCAGGGAGGAAGCTACCAGCGCCATCTTTGTTAAGGTCAGGAGAAAAAAAATGGGCGGAGAAAAATTGCCCAATTAGCTCAAGTCTGGTTTATCTCAACCCTCTAGAGAAGGCGGAGGACTGGGGATTTCGGTAGCCCCCTTTGAAGCGGTTTCTCCATGTTGCAATTGGCCTGCCTCGTCTACTCTTATTTTCCTGAAACCTACCGTCTGGTAGTCCCTGGGTGTCTCTTTCCCCACTCTCCTTTTGTTGGCTATTTTATCTTCATGAGAGTCAATAAAAGTTCGTATTACGGCTGTATGACCCACGAATCTGTTTGAATTACTCAAAGGTAGCAAATTTGGAGTTTGCCACTGTTTGTGTCTGAGGCTAACCGTTTGTAAATTCTAGACTAGGCGGTGTAGTGGAAGAGCACTGGGCGCAGGAGGTCGTTGGTTAACATAATGTTTGTTCCACTCGCTGTGTCTGAACGTAAGTGGATAATTGTGCACAAGCTCTGTTCATCGCGTCCACATTTGTGAAAGGAATAGTCTTATACTTACGACAGGACAGAAGCAGACACAAAAGAATTTACGGTGAATTACAACACCACCTCCCGAGGCTCCGCCCTCTAAGGGGCCCTGCGTGGTGCCAACAGGTTTCTTAGGCAACCGCCCAACAGATCCCTAGAGCCTCGGGAGAGAGCGGATGTTGTGGTCCCTGGTCCACAGTGAACAGGTAAGCAGCCTTTTCCCCCTGTACCAGGAGGGCGGTTGCCTCACTTCTGGATATGGGTTTTGTTATCAGTTGCACAGAATCCACCTCCTGCGGGGATCACGTACCAGTTATTTTTCTTGCAAAACTAAACTTCACGATCTTTCTACAAATCAACCTTTCAAAACCTGTTCTCCTTTCAATAACTAAGGTATGTATCTCACAAATATTTACTGAACACCTGCTACAAGAGCTTAAGACGTGCTGTAGTGGTGGCCTAGGAGGAAAGTGCTAGGAAACAAGGACCTCTCCAATCTGAGAATCCACCGCTAGAGGGTTCTCAATCCCTGGGAGTGTAATAAAATGTGAACACATAGCTGAATGTGACATTAGAAGTCATGCTGTAGACTCAAAATTGAGAACTTATGAAGGATCCACTTACCTCCACCTTCGCTTGCATCTTTTAATTGGAAAAAAATAACTCTCATCCATTTCATAATGGAACTCAATTCCTAATATTGTTAGATAGTTGCAGAATACATTCGTAATTGTGGGAGTTTTTGCTTTTATTGCCAATTTAGAAGAAACTATTGGTTTTTGAAAATATATTTCTACTGTATTATTTTAAGTAGACACAACTTCAATAGTTCTAATAATACTAGTATTAATTTGTTAACATTCTATAATTTCCACTTCATTTTTTTGTGAATGTAATGTTATGTAAAACCATATCATTGTTTCCTTGTTTAATGTTCAAGAACTAGGGGTATTAGGGGCTTTAGGGACTGGAGAGATTGCTCAGCATTTAAGAGCACTGGCTGCTTTACAGAGGGCCTGGGTTTGGTTCCCAGCACCCACATTGCAGCTAAGAACCATCCATAAGTGCAGTTCCCTCTTCTGACCTCTGTGGGCATTGCACGACACAGGTGTACTTACAGGCATGCAGGCAATACACATGTACATATAAATAAAAAATAATATATAAAAAGAATTAGGGGCTTTAAATACATTTGTAAATATTTCATTGCGGTCAAGAAAAAAATTATGTTATTTCAGTTATTTACATGTTTAAATATGTAAATAACATGTGTTTTTGAAAAAAAGACATGGTCTTGGTGCAAAGCAAACACATCCAAAACATTATTCACCTAATTTGTTTCTGATTAATTTCATTGAAAGCAGCATAATTGAAATCCTGCTTCTTACAGACATAACAGTTAAAAGAGGAGTCTGTGCCTAGAACCTACTTTACAGCTCAAAGTAGCAAAAGGCTTCCAAAGTGATTGAAAGATTTAGCTTGTAGACAGCTGTAAGTATCACATGTATGTGAAGCTTTAGTTATGTGCTGTTTCTTTCTCAACTGTTAATGACGTGGCTCCTAAGCTGAGTAAATTCATGGGCCCTCTCCTCAGCCTTCCCAAGCCAACAAAGGTGGGCACTTCAGCAGTTTTGTGTTTTTTTATTGTAGTGTTTTATATTATGATTTCTGAAGAGAAGACAGAGGACTATCCTTTTGCAGATATATTTAATGAAGATGAAGTCGAGAGAAACTTTTTATTATCCAAACCTGCTTGCTTTATTATATTTGGGAAACCAGTAAGTTATCTATTCTTATTTGATATACTTTTTATTTCAAATGACAATTTTCTTGTTGACATACATGAATGGAAACCACATAGTGTGCTCATTTTTTAGTGTCTGATAGATTTTCATCATATCACTTCCACTCTGACATAATATTGGTTTTAAATTCATAACTGTCATTCTTCTGTGCACAACAATTGAAAAAGAATCCAGATTATATTTTTATTTTTTTATATTTTAAGGAAATTGACATTTCAAAACATTGTACCATAATGGTACATACTAGCACGTGATCTAAAGTTATTCAGAGTTGATTTGTATATCAGATCTGCTTAGGAATTGGATACGAGGCTCTCTAGATGAAGATAGGATGCTAGTGGGATGACCTGGGGTGTCTGTTAACACCTGAAGCTATGGAGGGGCAATGGGCCTCCAGTGTGTTAGAGGACCAGCTATTGTCTCTCCACAAAACAGGAAGAAAATAAAGGGGCTCTTCTAAGATTGCTTGCTTCTAGACATTTCTAATAAGGACCTCTAAATAAGAGCAAATTTCAGTCACCAAGCTAGTGGATAGTTACCAATAGAGTACTGACTCCTCAGAATAACAGGTGTTAAGGGTTGGATCCTATCTTTGACTTACTTTTTTTTTATAGGAACACTAGATCTGACACCAAGAAATATTTCCCACAATTTTCATTATGTTTCTGAAAACATGGTTTTAAATGTCAGCACTGACAGCAACCAGATGCAAATATTACTTCATGAAAGTGACCTTTTATCTTTAAAATAGGCTGCTTTCCAAAGATGTCAGTTAAAAGAGATTTATTTGCTCTTGAAAATTATCAAATGAGCTGGGCCTGTAATCCCAGCAACTTTGGGGACTAAATCAGGAGGATCACAAGATCATGGCCCACCCAGGCTACGGTGATCTCAAGGTCAGCCAGGGCAGCTTTCTGAGACTCTGCCTCAAAATAAAGGGTAAAATAGGGCTGAGGATATAGTTCAATGGTAGAGTTCTTACCTAGCATGCATTAAAGCCCTGTGTTGATCCCCAGGATTGCAAAAAGAAAAGAGACAAAAATTATTAAATGGAAGTCTGCCAAAGCATTCATTTTCCTTTAGGAAGGAAAGAAAATTATGAGCCTCAACATATAATGATTTACAATTAGAACTGGAAATTTTGGCAAATGAATTCAATATCATGATGGTATAACTTCCTGATTTCAGGGATCTCTTTCCTAATTTTCCCAAATAATAATGTATTTAGATAATCAGGATATGTTGCATATTCAAGAATTAGTAGAGAAAAATGAAGTTTAAATATATAGGGTCCTCTCTTCATTTTTATAGAACAAACATTTATGTAACAGTAAACATCAATAGGATTCTTTACATTGGTGTATCTGCTTCACTGTGAAATGAATGTTCTGTTAAGTTTTAAATAACATTTTTCTTTTTTAAGGGGGTTGGGAAGTCAACATTAGCCCAGCACATATCACAGGCATGGAAATGTATTCATGTTGAAGGTAAATTTTTTTCCAATATTTTAATATGAATGAATACTTTCAAAGATCCATAAAATAGAGTTATGTAATGAATTCAAATCTACCCATCTGCCCACCGTCTTAGATCCATAATTAATACTTTGTCTTATATCCTTCATCAGACATCTATCCATCTATCAACCCAGTGAATATTAACTTTATAATGGCACCAGTCCAGTCATGTTTATTAAATGTCTTTGACTCCATTCTTACTATCTCTAATTCTCTCATTCCATAGTTTAGAACTTTTTTGACATGTGTGTTTGAGTGTCTTCTTATTACAAATGAGAAGAGAAAGAATTCACAGCTTTTCTTGGGAGCGTTTTCCAGAACCTAACTACTTTTAATGCAAAATTACATTTTACTTATAAATATCTGTGCAATCTGTAAGACAACAGACCCCCCCCATCTTGTTCTAATCCTTTTAATAAGTAAAACTGATCATTGTGGGCAAAGATTAAGAAATTGTCTTTCCACACACTATGAAAACGATACAAATTGGGTTTTTTAGAACAATCTGGTAACACATAACATATACACAGAGAACCTTGAAATTTTCCTTTTTTGACCAAAAAAGTTAACATCTAGAAAACCTTAAGGAATATCAAGCCTTTTATAAATCATTAGCAGCTGATGTCATAATTCAGCACCAGGGTCCCCTAAGTCAAGCCCCCTTCTATTCCTATCTCAGAGAGCCTTCTGTCAAGGAACGGTGTATGTACTCTGAAAAGGAAGACATGTCTTTGAAATTTTAGCCTCAGGACTCATCTTTTGAAACAATGTTAATCCATTTTAACTTTTTTGATGTGATCTTTCCTTTCATACTATCAATGTAAAAAATTAATGGGGCCTGGACATAGTCAAATGGCTATGAAAGAATTTAGACAATACTACTGTACACTTTTGCATGATACGTGGCAATTTACAAGTTGCCATCATACACCCCCTCATTTCATCCTCTCATTGTCTTCCATACTACCCACAGCAAGCATATTCAAGATACATAGGCATTTAGGGAGTGGACTTCACCCACAGTCTTAGGCTGGTAGAGTGGCAAATTCAAACTCGCTATGGAACATATTCTGCTGCCTCTACTTTGATTAACCTATAATGTGTGTAAATATGCTTATAAATTCTAAAGTGGTATATACATAAATCTTTGCCACCAGTTACAGATATTCAGAAAGCGTTTCTTATTTTGGCAATCCTAATACTAGCTTGTGCTAATCTTTGGAATGCATGTTTTAGCATTATCGGTTTTGGAAGAACACATTGCTGCTGAAACTGAATCAGGAGTTATGGTAAGCACATCTAAATAACAAAGTTACCATGATAATCAATAAAAGCTTTGAATCCCAGGCAGACGTTGTACATAACACACAGTATCTGTGCTTGCTCTCAGCTGCAGTCGATGCTGGTCAACGGTCACAGCATTCCAGATGAGCTTGTCACGAAGCTCATCCTGGAGAAGCTCAACTCTTCAGAAGTCTCCCACTTTGGTAAGTTCATGCTCATGTGCCTGCCCAGAAGCACAAATAGTGTCTTGGTTTCTTTCTTTTGTTTTGACCCTGGAGTCTCATAGTCCCTATTCAGCTGAGCATCTCAGATTCATTTGCTTGTTTGCCTTCTTAAGTCTCTGGAGTCTACATTTTAAAAAATGTGCCTCAATGTTATGTAGCATCGTGTCATCCGATGAAAGCATCGCAAAGGTGTGTGGTCCTTCTTGCAGTGCCTCTGGCTTCTACAGATGGTGCTCATGCTCACCCTGCTGTCACCAGGTTCAGTCTCTGCATTAATGCTTACTTGTAAAGCAGAAGACATGGGAGTTAGAGCTTCCCTATGACTTCAGATATTGCCTGGGCTTTTCATGCTCATCTAGCCTGCTTTCTGACCACACACCATAAAAGTCTCTCTCTATTCAGATGGATGCTGAGCAAGGGCTTTGGTTCTATAATTTCTCCAGACAAAGACCATTGCAGCTAGAGTCACTAAAAAGAAAACACAAGACATTTTTCAAAAGAAGGGAAGAAGAAGAAAAATTAGCTTGGGAGAAAATCATGTACCTAAAACAGATGATGAGTGACAGAAGGAAAATTCAGAAAGTTGCTTTATGTTTTCAGTAAGTTCAGAGAAAACATCGGAACTATTAAGATTCTAGGGTAAGGACTAGAAATGTAGTTCAACAGTGGAGCAATTGCCCAGCATGCTCAAGGCCCTGGGTTCAGTTCTCAGCATGACAACGCAAAAATAAATAAATAAATAAATAAATAAATAAATAAATAAATAAATATCTGATAAAATAAAATAAAAACTATGTCAGAGCAAGACAGTATTGGAAGCGGCAAAAACAGACTTGTCAAGGCAGCTATGTCTCTATGGCCTGTAACTATAGACAGAAGGAACTATCTCTTTCTATCATCTATCTTCATAGATGATACATATACGATGCACAGATGAATATAATCCATACATGCATCTGATCTCTGTATATCAGATAATAGATAATATATAATACCTAATTTACATAACCTATGAGTTCTAATGTAGGCTAAAATGTAAACATATATACTACAGTGTGAATAGCTACACTTTATTTGTAACTATATTTATCTAGCACACCGGCTACTCGGCAGTGATACAGAGAATGACCTTGGGGAAAATACCTGGATTGTAAAAGGTTAATCAAGAATAATGGCAGAAAGGGCAAACACAGAATTCCAGCTGGGTCAGTAAATGACCTCAAAAGGCATAGTAATTAAAACTGAGTATGTATAAAAAATATGAGCCACTATTTATTTATGCTTTATTCACCTCTTGAAAATTTAGACTGGTTTAATGGCTATGAAAAAGATGGCAAAATTTTTAAGTATTGCCAAAAGGAAAAGCTACACGAAAACAATCCATGGTGCCATTCACAGTTCATAACGGCTTCAAATACTTGCCAGAGAAGAGTTCAGATGGAAGCACACAGAGGGATTCGTATAAAGATCACACACAGAGTTTGTCACTCGACATACTTGTCTAATCCTGTTGCACGTGCACGTCTGCCTGTTCCCCTCTCAACTTATTTCATGTTGAAACTACTGTATTGCCTGTAAGCTCATTCATAGTTTTTTGACGTGTATCTCTTAATAAAGGCTGATAACTTATTATCACATTATCATGATCATTCCTTGACATCATCTGCTAACCAGTCTGTGGCCAAATTTTACTAATTGCCTCATAGTCTTATTTTAGATGTTTTGTTTAAGAAGGATCAAACAATTTCAAATCCAGCCGTTGTTTGGTGTGTCTCAATTATCTTTTAATCTCTAAATTCCCTTCATTTCTTTCTGTCTCCCCATGTTTTCTTTGTGGAAGAAACTGGTTATTTGCTTTGTAGAGTTTTTCCCATTCTAGAATTGACTGATTGCATCCCCATGTGTTTCTCTGTCCCTGAAACTGGTTATTTGCTTTATGAGTTTTTCCAATTCTAGGACTGACTGATGGCATCCCCATGTGTTTCTCGGTCCCTAATACTTCCATATACAGATCCATCTAGAAGCTAGCAGAGCAAGCATGGTAGAGACGAATTAAGTCTGAGGGCCACCCTTTCACCATTTGCTTGCATGAGGTACATTCTGGGCATCACAGCAGGCTCACTGAAAGGCTGCAGTGGAGACAGGGTTCAGAGCCCTTGCTACCCAGTCCTCACATTCATCTAACAGCACTTTCAAAGAGAATTTCTAAAATCTAGCACTCTGCTAAACACAGTTTGAAAGTCTGTGCAAATTCCCAGTAAAGATTCTTATTCTAACATTTTGTTTTAGCCTGTGGCCTGGTAGGAGGCAGATAAGAACTTGAAAGTAAAAAGCTTTTGAAACAGGGATATAACTTGAGTCAGGGGGCTAACTGAGGCTAGAAATGGATGAATCCAAAATCTCTAGAGAGAGATGTGCATTGCCAGAAACACTGCACAGGACAGTATTTCTAAATTCAATCTTTATTTTTTTCTGTCATATTCTTTACCATTCCTAAAGCTAGAGCCCTTTTATAGAGATCCCATCTTTAAAAGCGACCCCCCCATGCCATCTATAGTTATCTCTTCACATACAATCTATTGTGTTATCTTAGTATTTCACCAAAATCAGTTTCTGGGAAACACACCTCCTCCCAAAAGGAAGAGACAGAGGCTGTGCCTGGATGTCCTAGATAGCTCTTCTCTGCTCTGCTTCTGGGTTCTGGAAAACTCATTTTCCCCAGTGAAGAATAAACAGCCTCAGCGGGCACTCCCTCCCCTAGGTGTGTGGCATTGTGAGTGGTCTTGCAAGTCACTGGTCAGCAGTGTGCACATTCATGTCTGGCTGGCCAGAGGTCTTACAGGTATCAGGGATGACACAAAGCTACCTGATGTTCTGAATTCTGAACCCCATCACTTCAGTCTGAAAGCAGTAGTCTTCAGCTTCAGTTTCAGGGAAATACTGCCTCCTCCCTTCCAATGTGCCAAGAAATGAGAAGAAATGAGGGCAAATTAAGAACATGGGCCTGGATCACTGAATTCCCCTGGGCAGAGGTCTAGACAGTCTTTCTGTTTCCTCCCTCCCTCCCTTCCTTCCTTCCTTCCTTCCTTCCTTCCTTCCTTCCTTCCTTCCTTCTCGTTTCTGGGATCAGAAAAGTGGATTCATTGACTCTGGTTATTTACCAAGAAAATCTGAGAAATTCTGAGATTTTCACAGAATTGAGTACTTGTTCTGGAAGACTATGAAGTTGCTCTACATCTACAGTGGTGAGACAAGCCTAAATACCATGATTGTCTCTCCTCCACACCTCCTCCCATAGCCACAGTATTTTCATTGAAGTTCATGAAGAAAGTCCAGCTTCATACAGATATATAGCTAGAAAATTAAAGTATTTTGATTGACTTTGGAGTAATTATGGATATGTTTAATATTATAGCGATTCTCAACAAATGGAACTTTCTTTAAAAGTTAGTTGCATTTGGGAATTTGAAATCATATCTGTGAACTTTTCAAACTCTGGTATGTTGAAATCCTTTGTCTATTTTATACTTATAATGAACCTCTTCCCTAGGTATGACTGTGTGGCAGTATGCATTTTATTTAGAAAATATGTGTTCTCTGAATTATGTAGAGCTCCCAGATAGTAACACAATTCATTATACCATAGCAAAAAGTCGGACTTGTTGCCACCACTGCCACTGTTGTCAGGAAAAGCCTTAAGAATTAGGGGACTGCTAAGCTTATGGCAGTGGCTATGCAGTTTTCCCAATTTCTAATTTTCACCTAATTTTATCGTTGGCAGTAGATAGTATCATGCATCCTTAAAGTAGCTGGCTCACATTATTTACTTCTAATAAAATTTTTGTTAAGTATGGAAGGCTGAAGCTACTTTGTCAGTTCTCCTTCCCAGAAGAAAACAGAAAAGTAGCAGAAATGTAGATGAAAGACTTTTAATTCCCATTTAAGAAACTGAGACTTTATTTTATTGAGAGAAAAATTTCTTGAGCAAGAAAGTAACATAATTTAAATATATATTAAGGAAATTAATATGATGATAATCTCCAAGACAAATTTCAATGAGATTTAGGCATCTGTGTGGGAATGTAAGCTAATAAATGTTCTAAGCCCAAATCATATTCTGTACTGTTCCTAAAGCTATACAGTATGTACATGAGTGGTTTTATTGCTCTCTATAACCTACATGAACATTATGTACATACAGTCTACTATATTATTAAATACTAATTTAAGAAGGAAAATAGTAGATCATGTAATCCTTATAATATGCATTCATGATTCCTCATGTGACCTTTCCTAACTTACAGAATTGCTAGCATGGAATTTCCTTCCGTAATACCTCATCTGTCCAAAATAAACTGACATATTTTAATTAACATTTATTTACTTATTATACAGGGATGTATATGCATGCATGTGGAGGTCAGAGAACAACTTACAGGAGTCAATTCTCTCCACCGTGTTGATCCTGGAGATTAAACTTAGGTTGTCAGACTTGGTGACAAATGCCCTTACCCACTGAGCCATAGCACCAGCCCCCCTGAAATAGAATTTTTAAAGATGTTTCTTCGTAGCTCTATGGTATTTTTAATTGGAAAAATATTATTCATAGTTGCATTTCATGTGGCAATAACTTTAATTGTTAATTTAAATTTTGACAGATAATTTTATGAACTGTATTAATCCTCATTAATAACTACATATTTTTATAAAATCATCATAATAAATCCATTATCTCACATATTATTAATACAAAAATTATTAATTTACATTTTACTCCACAGGTTATATTCTCACTGAAATACCATCACTTTCACAGGATGCCATGACCATTTTGCAGCAAGTAGAATTAATTAGAAATTTAAAATTGCAACCTGACATTATAATCAATATCAAGGTAAGAATATTAGTTGTTTCTTAGCATAGCAAATCATTAATAGTACTTAAACTCAAGGAATGTTTTCACTTTTTTTTGGTCTTCTTAAGACAGGGGCTCCCTGTAGCCCCAGCTGACCTAGAACTAGCTGTGTAGACCAGGCTGACCTCAAATTCAGAGATCTGCCAGCCTCTGCTTCCTGAGTGCTGGGATTAAAGGTATGCGCCACCATGCCCAACTATGTCTTCATACTTAAAAATTTTTTTATTTCATTTTTAATTGTATATATGTATAAGTTTGTGCACATGAGTGTAGGCACCTGCAGTTCTGATGTTATGATAAAATACCCTGACAAAGGCAACTTGGGGAAAAAGGGTTTTAGTTTACAATCCCATGTTAGTCTACCACAGTGGGGAGTTCAAGGCCCCAGGGACTTAACATAGCTACTCATATGACATCCACATCAAGAACACAGAGAGAATGAATGCTCGCCTACTCAGCTGGCTTTCTCTACTGTTTTACAATCTAGGGCCCAAAACCAAGAAGGCTGGGTCTTCCCACATCAATTAACACAATCAAGACAATCCACAAATATCCAGACAGGCTAATCTGACCTACATAATCCCTCATTGAAACACTCTTCCCAAGTGATCCTAGGTTGTGACAAGTTAACAATTAAAACTAGCCACTACACAAGTTTAATAACCTGAGGTGAAAGGGGAAATGTGACTCATTATGAAATATTATCAATAAAGAAACAAACCATTCTTCAGGAAAAATAAAACTCCCATTAAAAACAAAAGAAATCAGGGCTGGACAGATGGCTCAGTGGTTAAGAACACTGACTGTTCTTGCAGAAGACCTGGGTTTGAATCCCAGCACCCACATGGCAGCTAACAACTGTCCAAAACTCCAGTTCCAGGGGATCTGACAGCCTCTTCTGTCCTCTGTGAGCACTGCACGACATGGGTGCGCTTACCTACATGCAGGTAATACACGCATACACATAAAATAAAAATAATAAATATTTTTAAAAACAAGAGAAATAACTACTAGAAAGATGCCTCAGCAGATAAGAGCACTGGCTGCTCTTGTAGAAGACCCAGGTTCAGTTCCCAGTATCCATATAGCAGCTAACAGCCATCCATAACTTCAGTTCCAGGGGATCTGATGCCCTCTTCTGGCCTTCATGGGCCTTGCATACATGGGTGCTTTTCTTTGCATGCAGGCAAAACACTCATGCACATAAAAATAAAAATGAATAAATCAGTCAAGCATGGTGGCACATACCTTTAATCCCAGCACTTAGGAGAGAGAGGCAGGAAGATCTCTGTGAGATCAAGCCCACCTGGTCTACAGAGTGAATTCCAGACCAGCTGGAGCTACAAAGAGACCCTATCTTTAAAAGATAGACCAAAAAATAAATAAATAAATAAAAAATAAATAAATAAATAAATAAATAAATAAATAAATAAATAAATAATAAATAAAATAAATTGAATAAATTGAAAGAAAGAAAGAAAGAAATCTATACAAATCATAATACAAGATACTTAACATAGCCCTTAACCCCCCATTCCTTCTGTAAGTTGGACAATGAGCATCTCATGTCGTTTCAATTGAGTAATCCAGTGTGATTCACTTTTCAATGGTTTGACTTCATTTGGGGAAAAGCCTGGAATTTCTAGGGCAGAAGTTTGCAGCCTTTTCCCATTTTTTAGGGAAATTTTTTTGTTTAACATGTGTATAATAGGAAATAAAAGCTTATTCTCATGTTTTAAATGATTTGATAATGTTGTTTCTTAGTGCTCTGACTATGATTTATGCCAAAGACTTTCTGGGCAAAGACAGCACAGTGTAACAGGGTACATGTACACCAGAGACCAGTGGGATCCTGAAATCATTGAGAGTCGCAGGAGAAAGAAGAAAGATACTCCCCAAACCAGAAAAGTTGAAGAGGAAGAAGAGGAGGAGGAGCAAGAAGAAGAAGAGGTGGTTTCCCAATATGGTCATTACCATATATGACACTTCTAAAATTGGTTATACTTGGGGGCTGGAGAGATGGCTCAGGGATTAAGAGCACTGACTGCTGTTACAGAGGACCTGGATTCAATTCCCAGAAACTACATGGCAGCTAACAACTGTCTGTAACTTCAGTTCCAGAGGACTTCTGTGGGCATTGCATGATATGGGTGCACTTACATACATGCAGGCAATACAATTATACATATAAAATAAAAATAGGGGCTGAGGAGATGACTCAGTGGTTAAGAGCATTGGCTGCTCTTGCAGAAGACCTAGGTTCGGTTCCCAGCACCCATATGGCAGCTAACAACCGCCTGTAATTAAAATTTGTTAAATAAGTAGTAGGAAAATTTTATATATATGTATGTATTGTCTTCTTGAGACAGGGTCTTTCTGTAGCCCCAGCTGTCCTGGAACTCACTATATAGGCCAGGCTGGCCTTGAACTTACAGAGATCCACCTGCCTCTGCCTCCCGAGTGCTGGGATTAAAGGAGTGTGCCACCACACCTGGCTTGGAAAAATTTTATTTTTAAAAAATTTTATTAAGTCTGAAGGAATTCGGCAAAAATGTGTCATGTCTTCAGAACTATTCATTTTTATTTGTTCATTTTTTAATGAGTATATATTAATCATACAGGTTTAACTATGACATTTTCTTTTGGGGGCAGTAGATATGGTTTTTATTTCAATGAGGTGAAACCAGGTTAGAGGATGCACTGGAGAATACATTCTAAGAGAAGGAAACAGCATGGACAGAGCTTGTGAGAGCAGCAGGTGCACAAGCCATTTCAAAACACTTCATAGCTCAGTTCAGCTTGAGTGCAGAAACAACAGAGAGAATAAAGCCAGGCCACAGTGCCACTCAGTAGCTGCATCCAGGACAACTTCTTGACTCTCTCTCTCACTAGCAAGACTCTACATGGGCTAAGTTGCTACATGGTAGTCAAAGCTGCAAAACCAATCAGTGGATTAACTGTATTCACTAATAATGAATAAACTGTAATAAATCAAAGAAAAAGAGGGGAGAGGATGTAGAGTTACCCTACATAAATGGAATGCATTCTCAATATTTTCCAGAACTTCTTAAAACAATCTTTATTACTTTGTGTGTGTGCTTGTGTGTCTATGTCTATGTCTGTGTGTGAGTGAATGACATGTGTGCAGGTGGCCACAGTGCTACAAATCATCTGTAACTCAAGTTCCATGGGCTTTGACACGCTTTCTGGCCTCTATGGACATTGCACACACAGGTGCACTTACATACACACAGACAAAACACTCATACACATAAAATAGAAATGATTTTTAAAAAAACTTTGAAGTTCAGTTTCTAATAAAGACCTTTAGGGGGTTCAGTCTTTGTGCCAGAGTCCAGAGTCTCTAATCTTCCTCTTTTCCTTGCTTTTCATCACAACATGGCATCTAGGTGTGTGGCTCTTAAATTATAGTCACTTCCCTAAGACAGGTAAATTCTGACTCTCCCTTTGTTCTTTTCCCCTATTTAGGCATTTATTGCTGAAGTGCAAATGGTAACTGATATCTTTCAATACCTGATCCAGAGACCTGAAGATTTTTTGGAAAATATTGAAAGCACTGTGAAACTTTATAAGGAGACAATTCTCCATGCTTTGGAAGTAAGAACAAGACATAGTGCTAAAATGGGAGTGTTGATGTTTGTATTTTATCTCCAGTTATATGGTTTTCATGTATCTTTGGTTCCTTGTAATCTTTGATTCTCTGGAAATTGGTAGAAAGTCCTTATAAAAAGGATTACAGTCTCTTGTTTTTAAAAGATTTGCTTATTTTTTTTGTTTATGTATATGTGTGTGGGCCAGCATGAGTTTATATGTACCACCTGCATGCCTGGTGCCTGCTGAGGCCAGAAGAGGGCATCAGATCCACTGGAACTGTAATAACAGATGGTTGTGAGCCTCCATGTAGGGGCTGGAAACTGAATCTGGGACCTCTGCAAGAGTAGCAAGTGCTCATAACTACTGAGCCATTTCTTCAGCTCCCCCAAGAACCTATCTTAATGAAAGAATTTGAAATATAGAAGAGTATCGTGTACTGCCTTGTTTAGTTCATCATTATTTATGGTTAAATAAATAATGCTGTCAGAATATGTTATGTCTAGAAAGAAAGAAACACCAGGGTACAGTTTTATACCTTCTTATGTGAAAAACAGAATGTAATGAATAATTAAGGAGATGATTCTTTTCGTACTATTGAAATACAGAGAATGTTCATTAATTCTCAAAGAATGGAAAGTGACTCTGGGCGAGGTAGCACATGCTTTTAGTCCCAGCACTCAGGAGGCAGAGGCAGGTGGATCCCTGTGAGATCAAGACCAGCCTGGTCTACATAGTGAGTGAAAAAGAATGGAAAATGAGATGGGGTTTATGGAAGTAGGTAAATGAGGGAACTGTCCTTGGATATCATGGAGTCATGTGGAAGGATAGAGCCAGGTTTTATTTTTATCTGAAACCTTAAGGAAGGATGAAAGTAGGAGTTATTTCTCAAGACATTTCTAATTTCTAGGAACACAGGTCTCAATAGAATTCAACATAGTTCATCTAAAACTATAAAATCCAGTTGACTTTAGATTTTAATATTAAAATGAAAGCAAATAGCAGAGAAAATTAGTAATATATTCTTGGGA